ATGTTGAATTTTCACTAGAGAGTGTCTAAATCATAAAAAATTCATATCTTGCAAAAGCTTTGGTTTATAAGCCTAAAAGTGTCGCAGTGAGTAGACAACATCTATCTTCAACTGTGGTGAAAATTTCCGACGCCTAGCTGATCATGGTCTTGAGCTATTAATTAATTATTATAAATGGCATTTTCATTAATTAACTCATATCTCCGTCAAAAAGGCGCATGGGTCCAAATCAACTCGGGGTTTTTCACTGCTGACTATTCCCTACATGATGAAAATAGTCTGAGTCGAAAAGCTTTTAATCACCTCGAGAGGTTCCCTCGTCAGAGATTCAAATAGTAGATTTTGTAGAGCTTGAAATTCTCTACTTTTGGTATGTATGTCAGTGAGGAAGTAAAATACAGTACATCTTGATATTCTGACATAACTTGGATTGATCTTAACTGAGTTATGAATTTTTGAATTTTACTCAAAAATAGGCAAAAACGGGATATTCCCCCTAATATACGTTTTCACTAGGTTTTTGAAACTGTTTTGAAAAACAAATGTAGCCACGGGATTCAGCATAGTTGGTAATCTATGTTTTTATTAATTTCCGACAATCCCACACGTAGCGACAGAGGAGTCTTAAGGCTTCAAGAAAACGCCCGTAGCTCCCGAACCATGGATTTTCGAAATGTCGCTTGGATCTGATTTTGTTGAGGACATCCTGGATTATCTATATATGAAAAAAGCTGATAGATTTCTATGTAAAACTTTGAAGCTGTAAGCTGGTGTCCCAGAGGTTCACTTAGAAATCTTCCAGAGATCCACGCAAAAATTTTGTTTTCTGCATATTATTATGTATCCCGGTCTTGACTACACGATGTGAAAACCCGATCTCGATAGCTCATTCCGTTCTCGAATTATTCATGTCGCAATCACCCATACTGTATTTTGAAATGAATATTTATTCATTATTTTTTAATAGTTTTTAATGTAAATTTTCACTCTTAATAATAGTCTCCTATGATATTCGCTCGAAGTGAAAAATGAAAAGCACCTCTCAGTGTTTACCCTGCCGTTGTGTTTAGGAGGATGTCGCAATCCTGAAAGATCCAGCATTGGACAGAGCTTACTTTCGCGATTCTAAACCATGTACTGGTGTTGAGTTTACTTTTTGTTTACAGACCGGGAGAAACACCCGAAACTATTAGTTACCACCAGTTACCAACACTTTTCAATAACTTGTTCAAAGCGGTAATTCTTTTCCTATTACAAAAAACGGTCGTACCGATGAGTAGTATCTTTGTTGGAGGTTTAAACTCTACAGCATTTAAAGCGGCCGAACGGCAGCCAAAACTATTTTGCTGGAAAGGCTTTAGGAGTCTTGGTCGGAAGATCCCTACATTCTAAAAAAGAAGTGTCGTGTACAAAATCTAAAAGGGTTTAGAAAAGTGTTCCAATCAGATACCCTTTTATAGTTTGATAAACTGCTGCAAAAAAAGGTATCGTAGACATCAAAAACCCTCTATTGAACCGTTTTTGTTGACGGATAATAAATCCTTAAAAATGCTTTAGTAAAACGTTTTTGACATCTGCAAAGGGTCTCTCTTATATTGTTGACTTCAATTTTGTGAAAAACTCAACCATCCCATACGCTGTTATTGAGGCCTCAGATATTTCCCTCATGGAGGTATAAGAACGTTCATACTTACGAGGCAACCTCCCCAAATGTACTCTCGTTTTTTTAATGAAATGTAGTGGGTTGTAGGTAATCGACCATGCTAATTTCGAATATAATATTCATTTGGGTTCATAGGCCTTTCCTAGCCGATTTCTGGAAAACCAGTTTTCCAGAAACCTTACAAAATCCCCCAAATCTTTTCCAAATAAGTCACGATTGTAGCTTGCGAAAGTCTGATCAAAATGAAACATCTCCCAGCTCTACATGACGTTTCTTTGCAAAGTTATAGGGTTTACAGGAAAAGCCCTAAATTCATTTTTCCATTTTCTTTCTGTAGCTCTGAGGTGACAATGAACATTTAGGGCTTTTCCTGTAAACTCTGTAACTTTGCAAAGAAAGGTCGTGTAGAGCTGGGAGATGCCTCATTTTGGACAGAATTTCGCGAGCTACAATCGTGACTTGTTTAGAAATGTTTCTGGAGATCCTTCGAAGTTTCTGGTAAACTGATTTTCCAGATCAACTAGATTCACTTGGCTAGGAAGATTACCTACAACCCACTACATTTCGTTAAAAAAACGAGAGTACATTTGGGAAGGTTCCCTCGTTAGCCATTCATACTCAGTCTTAAAAAGACGAAAGGCTCAAAGTGATTCCGTCTTCATTCACTACTTTTTCTTCAAGAAATGAAAAAGTTGCTGGTTCAACGTGCTTAAAGAATCAAACTCAAGGGAACCTGTACTTTTGTTACACATATATTTGAGCACACAAAAAGCAAAGTAAGTGTAAAGGAAAGTGCGTAGTGCTACGAAAAGTACTTACTGTTCGTAGCACTGCTGATTTTTCTTAGTCACTTAGCTGATACCAGAGCCCGAAACGAATCGAATCGAATTTGATTCCAGAAATGCTAAGTCGAATCGCATAGATTCGATTTAGGATTCGAAAATGCTATCCCGAATAGAATCGAATCAGATTTTCTTGATTCATTTCAGGCTCTGACTGGCACTGACACACCTTCGGATTCGAGTGCACACATTTACACTCCCCGAACTCTATCTGTTGGCTGTATCAGATTTTAATTCGGGACTTTTGGTGGATGTCAGTATATTTTACAAATACCCGTTGACATCTGATTAAAGCCTATCAGATATTAAAGAAGACCCTTAAATAATATTGATTCACAATGAAAACAGAAACTCAGTATTTTTTCGATTTTTCTGATGACTAGAAAGAAATATTTTATAATGGTGTTACTATTATATCGTTTTCGGTTGCGGGTCTTTTCTCTTTAGCAAGTTTGATATTTGTTTGTATTGTTTCATGAAATGGATGTTTATCCGGCAATGATTTTTCTGACATAAGCAACGATTTTGTATAATATTCTAGGGCAGTATCGTAGTCACCATTACTATAATAAACTAATCCAATATTATTTAAACCACGTGCAATATCCGGATGATCAGCGGGTAATGCTTTTTCTTTCAACTTTAATGCTTTATTGTAATAGTCCAATGCTGTTTTGTAATCACTTCTCTTGTAGTATACATTGCCGATATTGTTGTATGTTAGAGCGATATTCGGATGATTTGGAGGTAACGTGTCTTCATTTATTTTCTGTGCTCTTTTTAGATATTGGAGCGCCAGATCATAACGACCCTGATCACGATACACGTTTCCAATATTATTTAATGTTCCCGCAATATCCGCATGTTTACGTTGTAAAGCTTTTTCGTACATTTTCAATGCTCTCGTCAGATAGTTTAGCGCTTCGTCATGGTTATGTCTTTCATTGTATAGTATACCCATTCCGTTTAGAGTTTTTGCTGCCGATACAAGTCGTGGTGGTCGTGCGTTAGAGTGCATGTCATAAGCTTTTTGATAATTTTCAAGAGAGTGATCATATTCACCTTTGAGCCGATGAGCACGTCCAATGTTGTGATAAACACATGCAACTTCTTCATCATTCGGCCTTCCACGTAAAACATTTTCAAAATATTGCTGCGACTTGATATATTCTCCCATATCGGCGAGTAGATGACCAAACATAAGAACAATGTTTGATTCAGCTACTTTCTTCTTTTGAAATTCAATATATTCATTAGCTAACTCGGCACCTTTGTCAGTGGCTGATGTGACAATAAGCCACAGTTTATCCTCATCATCATATTTAACACTGTCGATTTTAAATGCGGCACCTGTAATTTTACACCAAATAATTGAATAGAGAAACAAATGTGAATATAAAAATCTTACCTAAATCGAATAGAACTTCTGCTTCATTTGGAAAGTCACTGAATTCTGCTACATCGGCTAAAATTATTTTTTCTACTGCTTGTATGTCCACAGTAATTTCAAATAGAACCGCTTCAATATCTGAACGTTTTGATGGTTTTTTAGCAAAATCATATGCTACAGTCCGTAGACGACTACTCGATAAGTATCCGTTTGTTGACATTAAATTTCCGACATTTTCTTTCAATATTAGAATTTCCTCTTTTGTTTGTTTTAAACCACGATAAAGTTTTAAAATGGGATTTGCCTCTTCTTTTTGACGTTTTTTTAACTCTTTACATTTTTTTTCAAGACTCGTGCACAAATCAATGATATAAAAACGAAATGTATAAAGAGCTTGAATATCTTCTGTTCTTAGCGCTTTATTAATGAGACGGTAAACAAAACTATCTTTAGTGTACCACTGGATAGCTTCGGTTGCTTTGTATGTTGTCTGAAATGATTCAATATTTGCTAATTCTTTTTTATTTGAACGATAGTAATCACGACATTTTGCAATCATTTCGCGTTTCGCCTCTATTGTCTGTTCCATATTTAGAAGAACATCTTTAAATAATTGAAAAAATAGAAATGAACCAGATTCTTTGGATAAATCTCGCGTTGCTTTTTGTTTTTGATCGTATAAGCTGAAGGCAGCTGTCTGTTTTTCTAGTAAATCCATTGTTTTTCGTATTATTAGTCTTAATTGATAAATTTCATCGTAAATACCGATTATTTTTGGATATTTTACCATTAGTGAATCGATTCGATCTTCTTCATGATATTGACCAAAAATAAAAACTGAATCAACTTGTTTTAAATCGTGAACCAATTCAAGAAATGGCAAAGATGCTGATCCGGATAATATTAAAAATATTTTTTCTTTCTGAATTACTCCAACGTATTCTAAACACGTTTCTTGATCTTGATAGAAGAGGACATAATCATTAATTAGTCTTAACATTGCTTTCATTTTATTTGTTTCTTCATCTGTTGCATCTCGTTGTACATCAAGCCATATTAACGTAACATCCTCTTCATTTCGATCTTCTCCCGATCGTTCTTGATCAACAGATGGCGCATCAGGTACTTGCAACGCTTGTAAAGTTGTAAATGAGTTAACTGCATTTACATGAGATTTTCTATTACCCATTTTTGTTAAGATTCTAATATGTTTACAATAATAAAAGCATATTTATAAATATACCTTTAAAGCATTTATCTATACGGACGGAGAAATAAATCACAATCACATTTGAGTCATCTTGAAACGCATGATTTATTTTCTAGCATGAAGGTTACAAATATTTGTCTTCGCCTGGATCTAGTTAATAAAATTAGACACAAAGGATATCATCTCTCCAAACTTCTATAAGTTTGGAGAGGTGATGAGTTTTCGTGACATACAAATTTTCATTCAATAGAGTAACAAAAGAAGGAATCTTTAAGAATTATCTTCTCCTTCTGTTATTAATAGTGCAATACCACTTTGATAGAAATGGTATACATCATTAGATGAGACATAATCAAAAAATTAATATTTTTCTATTAAAAGTCATCTGTTTGTAATATGTTGAGCAGGTTGAGTATGTTGAGTGGGATGAATAGAGGCAGGATTTTATTTTCTCCATTTGCTAATGACGATTAGCTTAAGCAACCGTCATATGCCTATAGTCACTCCCAGTTTTGTTCTTTTTATTCTACACATTGTGACAGTGACACCATATGACGTCAATCGACGGGTATACTGTTCTAATCTAGAAGTGTAACACATACACTACAGAATTCAATCAAATGTACATTTTTTTCCAACAATCTTGCAACATTACAATATCTATCAGCATAGTCAGTATTAACTGGCTTCTCTTGTGGTGGCTTTTGTGCCAAATGAATATGTTTATAACAATATGTTGTTTCAGCCATTGTCCCAGTTTGTGCATCACGTATCATCTTTGAACGAATCGGATCGCATCCCTATTCAATATCACCTAAAAGAAAACTTTGAATTAAATATACAAATCTCAAACTCTACCAATCGTTGTCATTCTCTACTTTCACATTCTGATCCATGAAACTAGCAATCATCCTCGCCTACTAACATCCACTGTCATATTCTGTCATGAAAATTGCGTATGAAAATTACCTGATTCTTGCAAATGAATTAGTTCTTCACTAAACTGACAGATAAATCTATCTGATTTTTGCTAATTTTCATGACTATAATCATTGAACAAGAATCTTCACGTTTATGAATATGATTGTTCCAGAATGCTGTATAATATGTTTCCCACTGTGGATAATTACTATCGAAGTAGTTATTTCACTTATCTTGAGTGTTAATATTTAGTAGAATTTATAGTCTATTTCGTTTTGATGTAAGAAATGTAAGACTACTGTTGAATAAGTTAGTGCGCAAGTATCGTTATTGTATCTAAGTAGTTTTAATGCAATACGTTAAATATACGTACCGCTGTAGTTGTTCTTGCTCCTATCCCGATATAAAATTAAAAATACTAGTAGACGTCACTGTGAAGTCACAGTTTTTGCTACTAGTTTTTAATTTATATGAACAGGACACGTTCTTCGAGTAAAATGTGATCAAGACATGGTCAATTTTTTTTGACTGTTATATGATGTATTGATTTAGTTGTGTATGCGTTATAGCTGCTCTTATCAGTTCACACACTATAAGATCATCCAGATGAAACTCTCAGCCAGTAAAGATCACCTCCAATATCCTGACTCGGATGTTTCCACACTGTCAAATCGAACGGGTTGAAAAATCTACTCTAAGTAGTTTATAATTCTTTCTTGTAACTGTGTGATCGATTTTCTGAGTTTTTAACCGTCATATTTGCCACTGTTATACTTAGCTGATAAATTTCAAGAGTTCATTCAGAAAAAAAAATTTTTTCATTTTCGAAAAAACTTTCGATAAATATATTTTATAATTTCAGAAACAGTTTGAATTTTGTTTTTGATCACATTTTAATGCTAATTCTAACCATGTATAAGTTTCTCAGGACCACATTCAGTATGTATCAAAAAATTGCCAGAAATATAGACAAGATAGATCGATTTTGGAAACTGAAAGATTCGTATCAGAGATGTGAAAGTTCTTTTTCAATACGTTAGCTATACTTAGAAAGGGTACACCTATTTATTCTGTTACAATAATATGTCGTACATTTACTCATCATTTAAGTCAAAAAAGTAGATTATTATGTGTGAGTGTATAATGAAGTGTTACCGAACACACATAAAGAAGAGAACAAAAACTGATAACGTTTGATGTCAATTTGTTTGTTACCGCCGGTGTCAATATAGAAGCTTTTAAAATTTTTGTTTTGTTGTTTTGAAAGCGACACATGTTAAATATATCTTCTATAATGAGAGTAAAAGTGCTTCTTTACTTGATCGATAATAGGAAGCTCAAAAACTGATAATTATTGTTACAGTAAAATGTATCATCTGATTGAGAAAACAAATATACATGTCAATTGAAGAAAAAATAATTTTATTGTAGAAATGCAGATCGAACACCTTTGGTACAGATCACATTCATCGTTAAAAAAGGTTCTGTACGTTGTCTCTATCATTTATTTTTAGATAGGTTAGTTTAATGGTATGTATGTTTTGTTCATGCATGCATTCATAAACCATATGTTTATTTAACACGTTTCTCTTATATGAAAAAAATGTATACAAAAATTAATTTTTATTGTTTAGGGACTAGATGATTCAATTGTTTTGATTGATAAAAAATTTAATTGATTTTTACGTGTGGATGTGTCATGTCGTGACGGTAATGATTATAAACAGGCAGGTTGTCATCTCAAGAACAAAATACGTATTAGGCTACTGTAGAAAAGATGGAAAAATATCAAAAGTTTAAAGTATTTTTATCATTCAACGTTACACATGATTCTGTAACGTTTTACGCGATTTTTGCATTTTTATATCTTCCTGACGAAGAGACGTTCGAAGCTCGTCTCATTTTGCGAAGAAAAGTGTGCTCAACAAAATAGTACATTTCACACCTTTCTAGAGTTCTCTGTTATGAAAGTATATCAATATATTATTTAAAAAAAGAAAACTTTTTAAGAGACGTGTTGCATATTTTTGCGTGGACTCTTTCACCAAAAATCCTACAGAACTATGAGATATGTCATTTTGTTAAACACACTTTTCTTTACACGAGCGTCGGACGTCTCTTCGTCCGAAATATTACAGAATCACGTGTTCAGACGAGTTATATAAAACGGTCCCTATACAAACCTCTACAATTAACATTTAGAGTATCATAATTATTGAATAGTATTAAAACAATAAGCTATTTTTCTGTCCATATGTTAACTGCAAACATGTCGTCAGAATTGTATTGATCAAATTTCGATAAGGCCGATCGTTTTTCATTGATGCACGTAATACGCCTATTTTAAGTAGCCGAAATGTTCCTCTTCGTTTTTCGTCACCAATATATATATATATATATACATCATCATATTGTTAAAAAAATCATCAATATATGAAACCTTATGTTTGTTGTCATCATTAATAATAATAAATGAAATCGACAATAGGCACGAGTGCCGATGTCTTTCATCTATTTTATTCAAATAGAAAGAGAGAGATTATAATGTAATAGAACAATAACGACAGTAATAGCAATTGACTCTTGAAGAAAAAAACATACTCATTTTTAAATAATTTGTTAAGTAAAGATCATTTTACTTATGGATAACACGATAGAAGCCTACATTGATAAATAAATCAGTTCAAAGTTAAATGTATAAAACAATCGATAAAAGTTCTGCTAATAGAAATAATATCCGATAGTCAGAGAGATTCTTCAAAAGTGACATTCTATGTCTAACGGAAGCTAATGTACCATTCTAGATGTACAATATTCTGATGATATTATGCCCTTTTTATTCATTTTTTTATCATTTTTATGGTTAACATTTGTAAAAAAAAGTCTTCACAGTATGATATTAATTAGTCTGAAACATGTGATGTTGTAATATTCAAAACGATTAACAATTTTAAATATGCATATTTATTGATTGATAAAAAAAATGTACGACTAATTAAATGAAACGTTTACGCTTATATCCAATAAGAAGATTCACTGTACAGAATAATAAAACCTACCGTTTTTTTTTATTTTATTTGTGTCAAAATGATACGCATTTTCTATTTATTATTATAGTATCTATTTGCTGCAGGTGATTGCATCATTTACAACCTTCGTCAAATTTTGACATTGTTTTGTGTCAAATATGACTAACTTTCTCCCTAATATCCCTCGTGTATAAATAGATTCTCTTTCTTTTTATTATTTTACATATTTTGACACAACAACAGGAGAAAAAAAAAATGTAGTCAAATAATAAATAGGTCTACGTCGTTTCTATGTCCTGTGGCTATACGTGATGGTGTTCTTTTCTGGAATGTGTGTCAAATAATTAAAATGAATGTGATAACGAAGTGTTCGTGTGGTTTCATTATTAATATGTGATAAGATTTTTAACTATAAGCAGTTATCAAGTTATGGATGATGATGATGATCTAATTAAAAGAAATAATACTTGATGTCATAGAGTAATACAACATATGATTTTCTACCTTAAATAAAAATACAATGAAAGAAAAAGTCAAGAAATAATCTTGCTCATTTATATTTCAAAATGACGATGGGTTGCCTTACTTCTCGTGACATCAAGTGCTATGAGTGCTATGAGACATTTCTTGACTCAGATTTTGATACTCATGACATCATTAGATGTGAAGAGTCATAACATTCACACCTATAAAGTCACTCTAATTAATATCCATTCAATCGAATTTCTAATATGCAGTTAGATACACGTTTACCTATACAAAAGATAAAGAATATCTTAACTTTTACTTATCCATTATAAGTAGGTATGCACAAGTTTTTAACTGGTGTTGGGGCATCCGGAAGAATTGCTATACATCAGTGATCACAATTCGCTCAGAACCGTGAAACATTTCATTATGTAGAAAAATGTTTGCTCTACAAAATGCATTTGTTAAAAAATTTCCAAAATCATTTCTAAGAAAACTAAGAACATTCTAAAATGCACAAAATCAAGAAAAAAAAACTGTTCGAACGGTTTTTTTTCCATGATTTAATGTATTTTCGAATGTTCTGAGTTTTCTTAGAAATGATTTTGGAAATTTTTTAACAAATGCATTTTGTAGAGCAAACATTTTTCTACAAAATGAGATGTTTCGCGATTCTGAGCAAATCGTGATAACTGATAGATAGGAATTTGTCTGAATGTCCCAACACCAGTTAAAAACTGGTATATACCTACTTATAACATTTAGAATAAACTAAAAACAGTTTAAAAAGTATTCTTATTTTTTATCTTTGTATTTCATTAAACATATTTATGAAATGTTGTTGATACTCAAAGAAGAATATGGTCTGTACAATATGAATACTTGTTGGCGCCGACTAATTTGAGTTTCAGACATTTTGTCTCAATTATATGAAATGTTTAGCGGCTTTTTTTTTCTGACATTCTTTCTTCTATAAAGCGTTAATTATTAGTTAAAATACATAATACATTATGGTTGATGAATAAACGATACGTAAACAGAGAAAGAAACAAGAAAAAATAAAATTAGTCTACTGCGGTTTAAAGTTACTTTACATCGATAAGTTTAGAACGTTAGTTGAATTGATTTTTTTTCCAATGGCAAAAAATTTCATCAGATACGTTTATAATGATGATCGAATCATCATTAAATGCAAATGTTTCTTTTTATGACTCGTTCAACGTCCAAGTGCCATGTCTTTCTGAAATATGACCGCTTTACAGATCTATCTATCGATGATTTTTAATTGTATCCGGAACATTTCCTCTTCCGTTCGACACATGTCTAAACGTCTTTAACGCGAATAAAAACACCTGATCCACACCTAGAAAAAGAACATAGTCAAATTAACTCAAAGAGAAAACAAAAAATTATTAAAATTGACTAAATCCATCGACGTGTTACATCCTCTTTATCGGCTTTATTATGAAGAAGAAAAAAAGCGGTCAAACGAAATAATATTGACTTTGACAACGTTGACATATACACATGAGTAATAATTGAGTAGATAGAACATCACTTTTCATCTACTCGCCTGCGACAACAACAAAATAAGTTATGCTGGATGATTTTTTGTCAACTCTGTTGACCTAGTGCAATATTTCTTGATGTTGATGGCATAAGAACACTACAAAAGTTATGTTTTTTTATACATTTCTGTATTTTTCGACTATTCGTCTGCAAAATATAAATAATATTACATAGTAAAATTATATTTTATTGAAGTTCCAAGTGTTTTTCTACTCGTAAAACTGTCTGTAATTCGAAAGCAACCAGTTTGTCTGTTTATTTTACTGTTTACTAACTAATTTACTAACTTATTCATTCAATTTCGAGACTGTCTTCTTTGTATATCGCAGGCCTTGTGTCTACTCTATAATGGCAATGCCGAATTAGTAACACTAGAGCCCTATACTTTATATTTTCTCAAATAAAATAGCTTAAACCAATATAAATATGTTTAAATTACTCAAAAAGAGTTAACACAATTCACTGTCTTAGTCTGTGAACGAAGCACCAAGTCTAAAATTACTAGTCTCAGAAATTTTATAGTAAAAAAATCTGGATTAAGGAAGATGTTGGCGATGTCTATACTGTAGTATCAATAAAAAAAAAGTCATTACTATTACTTAATATTAAAACTAAAATGTTATGCAATTATAATGTTTCTTTTTGTCGACAGACTAAATTAATGTGACATACTGGATGTTACTTTATTCTACTTTGCCCCATTTTGAATCTTAGTTAACCGATATGATGACCATATCAACATTAATTGATTTGTTTTTCTTCACTTATTAATATATTAAAAAGCATTGATATATATATTTACAAAAGTTCATTAGTGAAATCTGACTATACAATATCTATTTGACATAGTTCAAGAGCAATTCGAAGAATAAGATAATAAACATTACATAAGAAACAGAATTGAATGACTAACACAAAACAAAAATCGATAATCAAAATGCTTAATAGAACACTCGATTATTGAAACCTTTCGTTTATTGGAAAACATATTGTATAGGCTATAAATTATGTATAAGTTCATCACTGTTTTGAAAACCGGGAAGACAAATACTACACAAGATATGCAATATCGTATTCAACTTTTTAGTATTCATACAAATACTATACGAGAGATGCAATATCATTTGGAGAAAGTTTAATGTCATAATTTGTTTTTGAAGAGAGTTCTTTTTTCTCATATGATAATTTTAAATTTGGTTCATATGATGAATCTAATTTCGGTATTTTTTGAAATATTTGTGTTGTTAATGTTAAATTCATATTTTTCTTCTCACATACTTTTTCTTCCATTATATCAGATTTCAATAAATTTGTTGCCCAAATTTGTGATGTACCAGATTTTTCAATATCTAAATTGAGATTAGGATAATATTTTTGTTCACATTCGGTTGTTCGTTGTTTTCGTCGATAATAATAATAATAGATGATACTGAAGGCTACTAAGATAATGGGTACGGGAATAATACAAAGAATAATAGGTAGTAAATTAAAGTGATTTTGACGAAAATTTGATGGACGGATAAGAGTTAAATCAATTTCACAATAGAGTCCAACATATTTTGATGAACAATGGCATTGAAAACTTTTGTTAGGAGAAGATGAACAAATGCCACCGTTACGACATGGACGTGATGTTTGACAATAATCGATTGGTTCACGACAATCAGCACCTAAACAATTACAAGGATCAAATTACTTGTTGAAGATCAGCACAAGTTGAAAAACATTTTACAAGAATTATGTAGCTCTGCCAATGTCAGGAGGGTTTAACTAAACATCAATTTGTAATAAAAAAATTAAAATAATCTACCTTGCCATCCATCGATACATGAACATGTTGGTTTTGAATTATCACCTTGTTTGACCAGGCATGTGCCACCATTATAACATTGATATTTTGAACATCCTCCGCTCACTGTCAATGTTGACTCTCTTTCACACAAAATTCCTTGATATCCATATGGACAAACACATTGAAAATTGTTATTCGATGATGTACATACACCACCATTTTGACAATATAATGGACATTTTGGCTGCATTTGTTCTTCTTGTTCGTCACACAAAACACCTTTAAATCCTTTCGTACAAATACATCGATATGTTTCATGTTCTTGAATACATGTAGCTTGATTTTGACATAAATTATTTTCACAAATAGCTGCCGATGTTAACAAGGATATTTCACAATGTTCACCAGTAAAATATGGAGTACAAGTACATTTGTGAGCACCACTGCCTATCATCGTACATTGTCCATTGTGTAAACAAGGACGAGAAGCACAAGTATTTAATACTTAAAGAAAAAAAGAATGAAATTAAAATAACCGAATAGATTAAAGATTATCAATTTTCATGTCTCTTATACAAATGGTGTTTAAATACTTACAATTATTACAAAATGGTCCAGTCCATCCATCATGACACACGCATGTAAACGGTGCTGTACAATAACCATTGACACATCCAGGATACACGGCACACTGATTACAGTCTAAACCAGACCATCCAGCCCGACATTTACATTCACCAGGTTGAGTACAATAACCATTTTCAGATGAACAACCGGATGAACATACAGCTAGAAGAAAAACAAAGATTATTTAATAATCATTTTTTTTTTCTAAAAACTGACTTCTTTAGTAACAAATATTATTATTAGACAAAAAATCCATCTAATACATAGGAAGGTGGATAATTGTCAGCTAAGTGTGATAACTATTTCATAGAGCATATCTAATTAACTGTAGAAACTATACAATTGTTTTACAAACATTCATTATGTTTAAAAGTGTGTATACGATTTTCAGATTTTTTTTTTGTTTTGTTCTATAGACAATTGTCAAACAATTAGTTTCATCTGTCTCATCTGTTAAAAGTCACATCATTATTTTTTTGTTTTTCTATTTTCTAAAGTATATTTTTCAGCTGCTCTTCTTATTTTGATGACAAAAGAAAAGAAATTGATCTTTTCCAAAAAAACAAAAATTTAATGTTCTCCTTTCTTACCTTTTTGACAATTGATACCTTGCCAACCTTGCATACATTGTCTATCACCCTCTTTTGTACATGTATAATGTCCATAATCATCATTTCGTTCACGACAATGTTTTGAACATTGAGCACCATAAAAATGTTGTTCACATTCAACACGATAATTATATTCTAATTCATGTTTAAAAGAATCCGATGATGATGATTCGGACCACGATGAACCAACGTGAAGTGATGAACGCATTATTTTTGAAAATATTAATTCACGTTCACTACCTGGAAATGTAATACCATCATACGTTTTATCATTAAATAAATCAATTTGAAGAACAAAATCATTCTAAAAAAATAAAAAAGATAAAAATAATAGTAAAATAAAGATAAATATTAATTTAATGAATTTAATTACTTACCATCCAACTAAAATTAAATGGTAATTGAAATATATTTGGTTGTCCTGTTGATGTTTCTGTAAAATATAAATTATTACCACCTAATACCGGTGTTTCATGAAAACCAAATGTACATGAATCAGGTGATAAAAGAGCATTTGATGAATTCTTTGTTATTATTGTACGACTATTAATATCATCAATAGTAGGATTAACATAACGTAAACATAGACGTATAAATGTTTTACATGGTTGTAAACAAGTAAAAAATAAATTTGGACCAGAACAACATGAACCATTTGAATTTAAACCATCATGATTTTGAAATCGAGTTAATTGTAATTCAAATTTTCCACTAGCAAATGATTTCTAAAAGACAAATCAAACATTTTTATTATTTTTTTCGTAGAATAAAAAATACAAAATGGATTAATGTAATAATTCTAATGGTACAGTTTAAGTTTAGAAAATTTTTACTTACATAAACGAATATAAACATAATTAGAAGTGTTAACTTCATTAGATTCAACATTTTAATAAATAAAAAACGAAAGACGAAGTCTAACAATATAGAAGAGATGTGTTTAAGAAGAGTGAAGAGTATAGAATAGAATAAGATATTGTATGAATAGTACTCTTCTGTTACATACATATATATATATATATATAAAATCGTTGAACAAAAGTTGAATTCTATTGGTTGAACTATATGTATATATTATTTTTTTTTTCTTCTCTTCATTCTTTTCAGACAACAAAAATTAGTATGTCTCGAATAGAAATTAACACCTTCTATTTTCTTTGAATAATAACCGAAACGAAAACGAATATTATTTGCTCAAATAATATCGATAATGATAATGATGATGATGATGATTTATTATTTTTTTGTTTCTAAGATATTGTCTGACATTAGTGTGAGAATTGATCCCAAATTAGAATACTGTCTGATAGGATAATAATTTTGTATATCGATTTTTTTAACATATATATGTGTTTTCTACGATCAAAATTAGACAATTGTATTTGTATTAATGAAAAATTTATTTTAATCATGATTTGAATAAAAGTTTCGAATATGGCTAAATATGAAATAAGAAAATAAGAGAAATTGCTAGCAAAATAAGGAAATATTCGAGTTTAGATAAATAATTGAAATAGTTTTCAATGTCATCTCGTTCAACTATTCTTACATATTTTTCATGTTGAAAGTGATCCTACTCTAATTAAATAATAAATGTACTGATTAATCATGTTGAGAGAAAACAACTATACTATTTCAGAAAATACTTTAGCGTTTCATTTTTTCAACAATAAATGAGTGTCAAAAAAAGCTCATTTTTTTTTTTTCACTATAAACTCAATTAACATTTTAATTATGAATTTTAATTGAAATATTTAAAATATTTTTCCGTTAATCCATTCTATCAGACTATATTGTGAAAATAAAAAAACAAAAAAAGAAGAGGATGAATGCTCGAGTTTATACTCAACTTAAAAAAAGTCACACATGCGGTATATTTGATTAAATTAACAATTATTTTATGTAAAAACAAAGGGTGGGCTTCTTCTTTTCTTTACTAATAAACACATTAGAAAAATTTTGATCACTTGTCAAAAGAATAAAATCGAACGCTGATGATCGCTAATAGACTTTTAGAGATCAAAAAAAAAAACGTGAGAAAGTCAAAAAACTAGACGTTTAAATTATTACTCACCAATTAAAATTGAAGACGAAAAAGAAATAATAATTTTATCAATAACGATGTGGATAATCTATCCAAAATTGTACACTCGATCTCAATTTTTCTAAGATTGTTTTTCCTTTGATGTGTATGAATAACTCGATTATCGTATTTGTTAGATATCTAATACTCTTTTTCCTAACATTATTCTAAAAGTATTTTTCTGAAATTTTATTAGACTCATACGTATGACTCATACGTTATTCATCAGAGCTGGACAAGTTCGAGTCCGGACTGAAGATTTTTTCATGTTTGAAGTCCGATCGATTCAAATTCTTACATAAATCAACAGGAAAATTTTTAGTTTTTCAATATCAGTATGGGATATACAATAGAAGTTTACTTATGTCACTTTTTCTGTTATAATATGATGATGATAATATTAATATGTGATGTGTTGTAAGACATAGGAGAAAAGAAATATAAATAATGACAACCAAAAACATTTGAAAAAAATATTGGACTCGATCCTGCACCCCTCTCCCCCCAGACTCGCTCAGGCCTGTCCTTTACTTTCATGTTTAATTGTAACTCACATTCTTGACAAGTTTTAGTATTGAGTAAAAAGTTGAATATTTGAAATCGTTTATCATTTTGAATATTATCACATCATATGTTTTGATGAACGTCATCGATCTACCAATACTGTATAGACTAATTTGTATCATACTGAGAATATATCTTCTTTTTTGATCTCGATATCGATAAGAATATACGTATAGTGAATGACATGTTTTCAGATTTTAATATTCTATAACACTGCATGTGACAGAAGAACAATAAATATCTCCATACGCAGATGGACACTTTTTATTATCGACTAAATGATACCTCAGGCAAATAAAAATATTATTGAACAGAGAAGATATATGTACATATTTAGCAGAAAATTATTAATCAAAAAAAAATAATTTAATGAATGTTTTATAAAAAATTTCATATAAGAATTATATCAGATGCTGTTTCCAAATAATCATGCATAGCATGTTCAGTCGTATTCATGTACATACTGTATACTTGACAAAGTGAATATCATAGGCAAATATGAGAAAAGAAAATCTATTATTCGACAGAAATCGAATTCAAGCTATTCTAATCTCTGCGCTAAGAAATGTACATACGTACAGCAGGGACGTCCCAATCTCTTCAACTTTATAGGGAGGAGGCAGGTATAAAATGACATAACTTCGAGCAGAAAAAAAGGTACCATACTACTACATTGTAGCTTATCTTAACTTTTTAATGCTTAACAAAAATTAAATTTTCAGATATTTCTAAAAATTGAAAGGGGGGGGGCTCAATCCCTCCCTCGTTTGGGACGACTCTGTACGTATACTAGGGCGGGTCAAATTGTAGGGAGCAAAAAAAATCGATGTTTTACCTATCCTAGCGGTGTTCTACGGGTCGTTTTAAGAAACTTTGCCCAAGGAACTATAGCTCTATCGTGAAAATCGAGCCTCCGACTTTTTGCGAGTAGGTATCCCCGCAAAAATCCATATTTGGCATACATTTAAATCAATATTTCAAAAACTATTGATCCGATCAAATC